CTTGTGTGGCCAAAGTACCGGAAATATGGAGTTCTGTGAACACTGTGTGTTCGGGAAACAGAAAAGAGTCAGCTTCAAATCTCCAGCAATTCATAGAACAAAAGGTACTTTGGATTACATTCATTCAGATCTTTGGGGCCCTTCACGTACCCCGTCAAAAGGAGGTGCCAGGTATATGTTAACTTTCATTGATGATTATTCAAGGAAAGTTTGGGTTTATTTTCTGAAAAATAAAAGTGATGTTTTCTTAACTTTCAAACAATGGAAAGTTTTGATTGAGAAGCAAACAGGAAAACAGGTTAAGCGGCTTAGAACAGATAATGGCTTGGAATTTTGTAATGATGAATTCAATGAATTTTGCAAGAATGAAGGAATTGCTCGACACCGAACTGTGAGAATGACACCTCAGCAAAATGGTGTGGCAGAAAGGATAAATAGAACTCTATTGGAAAGGGCTCGTTGCATGATTTCAAATGATGGGTTGACAAACGCCTTTTGGGCAGAAGCTATCTCTACAGCTTGTTATATTGTCAACCGTGCTCCTTTTGCACCTTTAAACTTTAAGACTCCACGAGGAAATATGGTCAGGTACTCCTGCTAATTATTCTGATTTAAAGATATTTGGTTGTCCAGCATACATGCATGTAAATGATGGAAAATTAGAGCGAAGGGCTAGAAAGTGCATTTTCCTTGGGTATGCATATGGGGTGAAAGGATACCAACTATGGCATCCTGATCCCATGGCACCAAAATTTATAATTAGCAGAGACGTAACCTTTGATGAATCCTCTATGTTACATTCTAGAAAAGATTCTTCTAGTTCTTTTAATACAGATAAAGGGAAGAGTACACAGAAGCAGGTGGAGGTTGAGATTGGCATTCCTTCTGAGCCAAGCTCAACTTTGGAGCAAAATACAGTTGAAACTCCTGAAGTTGAGACAGAAGCTGAAATTCCTGAAGTTGGGACTCCTGAAGTTGAACCAGAAGAAGAGGAGTATTCTATAGCCAAACATAGACCAAGAAGAGAAAATAAACAACAATTAAGGTTAGGAGATTATGTTTCATTTGCTTTTTCAGTTGCACAGGAAACTGAAGAAATTGGAGAACCATCAAATTATTCAGAAGCAGTTTCTGGTGCTGATTCAGCCAAGTGGCTGATTGCAATGAATGAAGAATTGAGTCTCTCCACAAGAATGGTACTTGGTCTCTTGTGAAGCCGCCATTAGGAAAGAGAATTTTTGGTTGCAAGTGGGTCTTCAAGAAAAAGGATGGCATTCCGGGGGTTGAAGATGCGAGGTATAAGGCACGATTAGTTGCAAAGGGCTATAGCCAGGTACAAGGGGTTGATTTTAATGATATTTTCTCACCTGTTGTTAAACATAGCTCTATCCGTGTCTTGCTTGCTTTAGTTGCCATGTATGATTTGGAATTAGAACAACTTGATGTTAAGACATCTTTCTTACATGGAGAACTTGAGGAACAAATATACATGCATCAACCCGAAGGATTTGAAATTGAAGGAAAAGAAGATCACGTTTGTTTGTTGAAGAAATCCTTGTACGGATTAAAACAGTCTCCAAGACAATGGTACAAAAGGTTTGATTCCTTTATGTTGGGTCAAGGTTATTCGAGGAGCATGTATGATAGTTGTGTTTACTTCCGGAAGTTAAATATGGTTCATTTGTATACCTATTATTATATGTTGATGACATGCTCATTGCTGCTAAGGATTTGACAGAAATTCACAATTTGAAAAGTCAACTGAAAAGTGAATTTGAGATGAAAGATTTGGGAGCAGCTAAGAAAATCCTTGGCATGGAGATCAAAAGAGATCGAGGAGCCAACAGGCTATTCCTGACCCAGAAGAAGTACTTGGAGAAAGTCCTTGGAAGAGATTGGCATGAAGATCTTTATTGCTAACCAGTGAGTACCCCTCTTGCTGCTCATTTTAAGTTATCAGCTGCTCAGTCACCGCAGTCAGAGGAAGAAGAGAGGTATATGGCACAGGTACCTTATTCCAGTGCAGTCGGCAGTATTATGTATGTAATAGTGTGCACACGCCCTGATATTTCGCAGGCAGTAAGTGTGGTGAGCCGATATATGGCTTGCCCTGGTAAAGCACATTGGCAGGCTGTGAAATAGATTCTCAGATACTTGCGAGGTACTTCAAACACATGTTTGGAGTCTGGGAGAAATACTAATACTTGGTTGGTTTTGTAGACTCAGATTATGCAGGTGATCTTGACAAAAGAAGATCACTAACAGGCTACGTATTTTGCATTGGTGGTTGCGCTATCAGTTGGAAAGCTACATTACAACATGTAGTAGCTTTATCTACTACCGAAGCAGAATATATGGCAGTGACCGAGGCTATCAAAGAAGCCTTATGTTGAAGGTCTATTTGCTGAACTCAGTTTACACCAAGGTGGTATTATCATTTTTTGTGATAGTCAAAGTGCCATTCACTTGACTAAAGACCAAATGTATCATGAGAGGACGAAGCATATTGATATCAAGTACAATTATATCCGGAAAACCATTGCTGATGGAAAAGTCTCTGTTCAGAAGATCAACACTAGAGACAATCCTGCTGACATGTTCACGAAACCTCTTCCAGTTGTCAAGTTCAAGCTTTGCGTGAACTTGATTGGCATTTATGAAGAATGATTTTGCCCATTGGGGCTTTTGCGGAGAAGGTGGAGCAAATTTACTATATCAGCCAAAATTAGGCCAAGGTGGAGATTTGTAATATGGCCAATCTTTTGGCTAGTGGGGTCCATTTTATATAGGCATAAGCCTATTTTGGAAGAAGAGTTGGCTGGCATAGTTTTTACTTGGAGCAAAGTATCATTGTGTTGTAGAGATTGGTTGATTCAATTTCCTTTTTCTTCTTATTAGTTCTTGGAGTCCCAAGTTTGGGTACCTATAAAAGGAGGGCCATCTCTTTCATTTCAAACACACCTTTAGATGCAAAAGTAGAAGTATTTCTACTAGCTTTTGTCTTCCTTTTTTATTATAGAGTATTTTGTAAGAGAGTGAGTGTGGGAAACACTTGTGTGAACCCTTTCTTTGGAGTGATCTTGTGAGGTTATTCTCTTGGGGTATTTGGGACTAATTAGAGTATTTACTCTAATTTTGTACTCTCTTTTGTACTCTTGTTGGTATAGTGAAATTGCTTCTCTCCGCTTGTGGACGTAGGTCTCCTTGACCGAACCACGTTAAATTTGTGCCTCCTTTATCTGCTTTAATTACCGTTATTATCAACTTGTATTGTCTTTGTTATTGTCATTATAACGTTGTTTGGCTAAATTCCGCACTAATCGAGTTCCCGATCCTAACACTTTTTTAGTTGTGCACCCATGTACTAAAAATCCTAGATCTGGCTCCGAGCATTTCCTATCTTTTTCCTTGTGTGAGTATACACTGTTGTAGACTTGTAGGTGGGAGTTTTCCTGTCATCACAAATCAGAAAGGAAAAGTATATAACTTTTTCACCAGATACTCACATTGGCATCTTCATCAAACAGTTCAGATTCAACTATTTCAAGATTATCGTCGGAAATGTTAACCACCTAGAGGGAAACAATCAACCCAATGAAAAAACAAAAAGGATAAGCACATTAAGGATACAACTAAGTCATAAAGCAATCATCTTTAGGGGTGGGCATTCGGGTAGTTCGGATTGGATATGAAATTTCGGTTTTGAATTTAGATTTTCGGATTGAAGAAATGACAATCCAAATTCAATCCAAATAAGCTCGGATTGGATCGGATTTTTTAAGTCTAGTTTCGAATTAAACAGTTTGGATATTTTGGATTTTCGATTTCCAACTTATAAGAGATGTTTCTTCTTATTACAAAAATGAATATCCAAATGAAGTACTCATGTTAAATTGTCTGAAAAGTAACTCATTCTCACGGTAATCTTCCAAATAAAGTATTCAAGTAATGAAATCATTATCATCGAAATGTAATAGAGACATTAATTAGCAACAGTAAAAATGTACAAATAGAAAGTATTCGGACATTAACATAGCAATTAACATTGAATATATAAGATAGTATCTAATGGGCAGGGTATTGGACTTATTACTATTGGCATATGGATAATGGACTAAATATAAAGTATAAAAATTTCAGATTTTCTTATATCCAAAAATCCGAAGTACCAAATCCAACATCCAATCAGAAATCCAAAAATTTTAAAAATTAAATCCAAAATCTAATCCGTAATCCGAAAATCCAAACCAAAAATCCAAAAAGTTCGGATTTTGGTTTGGATTTCGGGTTTGCCCAAGCTATGCCCGCCCCTAATCATCTTTTGGTTCTTCATTTGTGCCCACATGTTAACATGAGTTACATTAGAGAGGATTACTAGGACAATTGAGATTCTTGTTATACTCTTCCACTATAGACTTAACTCATATGTACACACTAATAATGTAAAAGCTATCGACATGTACTTTAACCTATTGTATCGAATATGTAAGCTTTAAATTAAGAATTACCCCTTGGTCGGGAGACATTTGAGTTCTTGCAAACTGTGAGCTAAGTTGTTCTTCGCCATTGTTTCTTGGATAAATAACAACATTCCCTCTCTTTTTCAACTTCTAGTATGTAGGTGAGGGTGTTGTTGTCATCACAAACATTAGAAAGGGAAAATACAACATTGTTGAGCTTATCATTAGTAGTGATAAAAGTTGTAGTAAATAGGTTAGTTCCCTGTGGGATCGACTCCGGACTGAATTATATATTTGCAACGACCGCTAAATCCTTTTCAGAAGGCATAGTTGGGCGTGATCAATAATCCACATAGTTAATAGAACTTACTTGTTGACCAGATAATCAAGCAATTAAGCACAGAAATGAAGAAAAAACCATATAACAAGGAATTTCAATCAAGGAGAAGTTAACGTCTAACAATAATATTCATGGCTAAATCACAACCACAAAACTAATGGGTCATAGCCACTCATGATAGTACTAAACCATTTCACAAGTGTTTAAATGATTGAAAATACTAAGAATGAAGGAAAACTAATAATCCTAGCTCTCCGGTGCTCCGTGCGTGGATTCTGCTCTCAAAGTTGCGTCTCTCCCTCCAAATTAAGTTTAGAACTCTTTTTATACGGGGTGGGGCCATGTACGGCCGTCAAACCCAAGTCCCCAGAGAACAAGGCAGCGCATCGCCCTACGCAGTGCACCATGCTGGCCTGGGAGTTAACCTTCTCTTGCTTTTCTTGCTTTTCTTTTTGCTCAAACTCTTGCCCTTTCGTTCCAAATCGCATCCGGTTGACTTCTACACATAACACCACAATTTAGCATAAATCATCACAATACATATACAATTACATAAAATTCGGGTAAAATATAAGTCAACATGCATATAAATACAGACACTTTAAGCCAAATATACCATTCATCGACCACCACATAAAACCGGATAAATAAAGGATACGTACTGGAAACAATAGAAGAGTCAATAAACTAGAATTACCGCTAGGTTGGAAGAAATTGGAGTTCTTGCAAACTGCTCCGGAAAACGAGTCTGAGACTGGACCTGCACCTAAGAAACATAAATGAGACAATATCTCGCAATATTAAGGAATACTGCAAGAAACTACAGATTAAGCAAGAAACATTTTTTGTAAATTGAAAAATGGAGAAGAACGTCATTCCCTATTTTGTCCTATCATCACAAACCAGAAAGGAAAACAAAACCTTTTAAAGAGATACTCACATTGGCATCTACACGACCTCGATTGGTATCTTCACCAAACAGAAGAGGAAATTGTTGTTTGATTTCAAGAATATCATCGGAAATGGTAACCACCTAGAGAGAAACAATCAACCAAATGAAAAACAATAAAGAAGAAACAATTAGTGGCATCATAAATCATAACCAAATGAAAAACAATAATCATCCATTTATTTATTTATTTGGGGGAGGGGGGGAGGGGGGGAGGGTGAGGGGGGGATTAACACAATCCTTATTATTCTCGCTCACTCCGCAGAAGGTAAGTACATAGGCGTGTGTGTCTCCTTTTAATGCCGGTTGCATCAGTATTAATCTTGTAGGTTTGTATCTTCGCATCCGGAGATTTCTTTTACCATTTGTTGGTTCGTTTTCTTCAATTATTCTATCTCTTTATCACCTATCTTGTTGTTGTTACTAATTGTTATTTCTGCTTCTTTTCCATTTTTTCCTTGAGCCAGGATCCATCGGAAACAACCCCCCTACCTTCACAAGGTAGGGATAAGGTCTGTGTACACTTTACCCTGATCACCAGACCACTCTATGTGGGATAACACTAAATTTATTGTTGTTGTATTCCTTAGTGGACGAGGCGTGCTTAAATGGGCACACATGGAAGTGGGAATTCAGATAATCGATCCAAAATTTCTTGAAGCACAAGATTAACAGATACTCACATCGGTATATGCATGAGCTCGATCAACATCTTCACCAAACAGTTTATATTCTTCTTGTTTCATTTTAAGAATATTGCTGGAATTGTTAAAAACCTAAAAAATCATAAGAGAAGAACATATTAAATTGAATGATGAAAGGATAATGCAGAGACATACTTGTCATACTAAAATTGAATCTCAACAAAGAAAGGCATTATCAAGTAAATAAACGTTACAAGTATCAAGAACACATAGTAGTCCTGTACAAGGTTAATCTCCACAAAAGACTTAATAAATCTCAATCTCAAGAAACAGCAGCTACCTTTTGAGCATTTCTGAGATACATACAATAAAGACAAGGAAAGAATTTGCCTTTGCTTCGAGCTCTTAAACAGCATGTAGCATTTACAATAAACTCACCTGGAAAACAGACCAAATAAGTTCCTTGGTCTTTTGGCAGCTATTCAGTCTATAGATCAACCTTCTCTCAAAGTGTCTACATTAAACACCTATATAAGCTATTAAATAACCTAAACGTCATGCAGCATATGTACTACTCTACCATGGGTTGCACTAGTTTTACCACACCAGGAACAAAGACTCACATCTTCAGACACATGAACATGCCCTAATCTACAATGCAATAACTTAACTTTATTATAAGAAGCAGCATTCATGGCCTGTGGGGAGGACACAAGACCAGAACTCTCAAAGATGTTTGTATACAATATGAAGAGTAGAGTTCAGATGAACAGTTTGATCACAGAATATATAGCATTGGTAGATTCAGTCGGCAAGAATCTATATATATTACCCTTCTCTTAAACCAGGAAAGCTACTTATATCTTCTACTCTCTGCCTTCCAGCGTAGGGGTAAGGTTGCGTACATCTTACCCTCCCAAGGCCCCACTTGTGGAAATTTACTGGATTTGTTGTTGTTGCTATTGTTGCGCTTTTCCTAGTACTAGAAAGTCAAAAGGTATATCTGTAATATGACAGCTCTTTTCTCATTTCCATACTTAAGGTCTATACAAGAACTAGCTATTTATCAATGTAAAAGCTTCTAATAATTAAAGGAGAAATGAAAAGGCAGAATCAGCTGTCAAGCGCTTTCCGTCTTAACTTCTACACTATCACTCTTCCTTTGAGCTTCCGCTTTTCATCTGGCTTGGTTATTTGCAATAATCCAAGGATCGGAAGGAAGCAAAGAAATCAGATAAATAATTGTTCTATTGTTGTCCTAAATTCAAGACAACAGAAGAGCACTTGTCCTTATTAAAAGAAAGAAATTGAGAGATGTAAAGAAGTAGACATGTCTTTCAACATAGTATTTAAAAGTATTAAAAATCTAACATTATCTGATTCATTGTTTTATATACTTGATAACTGCAAAGAAAATTGTGTAACTCAATTAATTGTGTAACTCAATTAATTGTGTAACAATTAACTATACAACTTCTCGTTATTTTCTTAACCTTCATTTTCTGACGTGACTTCAGAAACTGTGGAAAAATGTCTATCTTTCGTAGTAGCAATAAAGCCAGATTGTTTTCCTAAAACATAGATAATGGACAGTCGGGAAACAATACGAAAAGCACTAGATTAGGAATTACCCGTTGGTTGGTAGGCATTTGAGTTCTTGCAAACTGTGAGCTAATTTGTTCTTGCCAATAATATTCATTAGCTTCCTGCTGTGTAGAGTAGAATTGGCCACTAAGTTCTATGTTTTCTTGGAGAGGGACCAATGGACTGTCCTCAACAAGGGGAGAGAGCTGGGTCGACTTACTACGCCAGTCATTGGTTTCCGGCTTAGAATAACAAGTCTCAGACTGGCCCTGCACCTACAAAAATATAATGACACAACATGTGGCAACAGAAAGCGTACTGTAAGAAAGTATAATCGAAAGGAAACATATTTTATGGAAAAATGTAGAATTTCTTCTGCTTGGACAAACAAGTAAAATAACAGCATTCCCTCTTTATCATCACAAATATATCAGAAAGGAAAAATATGAACTTGTTTATCAGATACTCACATTGGCATGTGCACAATCTTGATTGGAATCTTCACCAAATAGTTCGGCTTCAACTTTTTGTTTGAGTTTAAGAATATCGCCGTCCCTCAGTTCCATTAGCTGGTCTCGACTATGCCCAACACGTTCACGGCCCTCAAAACAAGAGTCCCCAGTAGTCTACATTTATAAAAAGATAGTTAAGACACATAACATACATGAAGTTTTTGTATTGAATCTCAACAATGAAAGAAAAAACAATATCCTTTTGGCATCTTCACCAACCAGTTCAGATTCAACAACATAGAAAATATGAGAGAAACAAATTAAATTGAATGATGAAAGAAAGGATAGTGCAGACACAGATCATGTTTAATTGAATATCAACAAAGAACAAAAGAAAGACTTTATCAAGTAAATAAACGTTACAATCATCAATAACACATCAATAAAAACAAATTAAGCCTCAATCCCATAAAAGTTGGGGCCAGTTGGATGAATCCTTACTGACCATGTTACTCCAAACAAGTTGATTATAATTTATATTGATACATAAATCTCTGAAGGAAGCATCAAGAACACATACATATTCATCAAGAATTACCCCTTGGTTGGGAGATATTTTAGTTGTTGCAAACTTTGAGCTAAGTTGTTCTTGCCGACTACATTCATTCGCTTCCTCATGTCTAGAGTCGAATTGGTCACAAATTTCTCTGTTTTCTAGAAGAGGGTCCAATGATTTGTCCTCGACGGGGGCAGAGAAGTGTGCCAACTTACTACGCCAGTCATCGGTGTCTGGCTCAAAATAACTAGACTGGACCTGCACCTAAAGAAACATAAATGACACAACTTGTGGCAACAGAAAGTGCATATTGCAAGAAAGTAACAAATCAAAAAGGAATCATTTGCTTGGACAAATCGAAAATGCATTCCCTCTCTTTTGTCCTCGTGCTACTGCACAGTATGTTGTAGGTGAGGGTGTTCCTGCCATCACAAATATTAGAAAGGGAAAACACAACTTTTTTATTAAGATACTCACGTTGGTATCTACACAATCTTTATTAGAATCTTCATCAAATAGTTCAGCTTCAACTTCTAGTTTGAGTTTAAGAATATTGTCCCTCAGTTCCAGCAGCTGATCTCCAGCCTACAGTGATAAAAGAAGAGTCAAGAAACATATCTTGCAAAAAGTAGTTTTTAAATTCAATCTCAAAAGGTTTAAAAAAAAATAAAAAAGGCATTATCAAGTAATACACGTTACAAGCATCAAGAAGACATACATATTTAACAAAATGTCCAAGTATAGAGAGTTGGTCATCAAAAAGATAGTTGAAGATGAAATGCAAAAGCTGGAATATGAAAGAGAATGGTGTAACTAAGGTTAAGAATTTGACAGCTGACCTTAATAGACACCAGAATAATTTGTTAAATAGCAACATGGTAGAATCTTATACTAGGTGTTTCTCAGTAAAAAGACTCAAATAAATCTAAATCACAAGAAACAGCAGCTCCCTTTTGAGCATATTTCTGAGATATAAATAAAGAAAAGGAAAGTAATGGTTTTGCTTCTGCCTCGAACTCTTAAACAACAAGTAGCAAATTCACCTGAAAAAATGAAAAGGCAACAAGTCTCATTCTTTTCCCATTTCCATATTTAATGTGTATATGCTTCTAATAATTAGTGGAGAAATGAAACGGCAGAATCAGTTGGTTTGTGCTTTCCGCCTTTTTTTTAACATCAAACACCTTCTGTGCATAATTGATGGGTAAAACCGTTAGTGGAATTATATACACAATTTGCAAACGAAATTCCGAAAAGTTTAGGCGTCCAAGTCTATGCATTAGCTCTCGTGTCAAAATTCTAATAGGCAAAGGCACAATCGAGGAAAGGTTGGGTGCTCAATAGGTGATTAGTTTAGTTTAGGTATCAAAATAAAAAAAATTGACAAGTGTAGGTGTTTATGTATTCACTATTCAGCCTTTGTTATATCTTAGCTTTGAGACTGATAGAATGTATTATTGTCTCCTTATAGGCAATTCTCACAAAAATCAAATTTGGATATTTGTGTTAGGCCTAAGGGTGTCAAACGGGCGGGCTGGTCCGGTTCTAGACCGGCCCTGATTGATTTTTAGACCAGATCGGACTGGCCTGGTGGTAAGGGGTTGGGCAGGGCTGTGTTCGGACGGGAATCGGCCTGTGCCGTGAAAAATTTCAATACCGGATAACCGGACCGGTCCCCCGATAAGGTCTTGTCAATAGTGAACCGGTTAACCGGACCGGCCCAGAGCGGTTCAACGGCTAATTCATATATTTATTTATTTTTATAGTCTTGACCATTGGCAACGGTCAGCTGCAATTTTGGGCTAACCGTTGCTAATTTGCAAGAATAGCCCTTTTTTGGGCATTTTTTTTTCAAAAATAGCACTTTTATTATTTACTAATTTAGCCCTTTGGAAAAACTATTAATAGACCCCCTTCTTCTTCTTCA